ACCCTTAAGGGAGTTATGAGTATGAAAGGGGTAATTAAAGGAAATCTTGAATGTGTAGGAGTTTGAGTGGAGCTGGTTCCGAGTCGAGGACAGTTTAGCTACTTCACGACATTGAGGTGAGTTACCTTCCAGTAAGAGTGGGTCGAAGGCACTAATGCTGACCCACTAGTATTGATTATAGTTGAGATGATTGTCTTTGTGATAATTGTCTGGTATGCCACTATTTGTTATGCTTTATGTGCTAGTATGTTATGTTATTATGCGATAGTGGTAGGAAGGGTAGGATAGACCCTGTTACCGGTCGAAAGGACTGAAGGGGTAGGCCAGCACCCAGATATGCTAGGCAGTGTGTGACATCTGTATATATATGCTAGGATATATATGTGGTAGTGGTAGAGGTGAAATAGTCCCCAGTTACCGGTCGAAATGACCGAAGGGGTAAGCCAGCACCCAGGTATGCTAGGCAGATACCGGTCGAAAGGACTGAAAGGCTAGGCTAGCATCCAGGTATGCTAGGCAATCCAGGTATGCTAGGCAGTTACCGGTTGAAAGAGACCGAAGGGGTAGTCCAGCACCTATATATGCTAGGCAGTATGTTATTGTATGGTATGTGGTATGATGGGGGAACTAATTAAACTTTGTGCTTACAGTTTTCAGTTTTGGTTTCAGGTACTTCCTCTTCGAAGGGAAAGGAGTCGGCATAATCGCAGCGCATCACACCACATTTTTCCGCACTAGAGATCTTTGGGATTTATACTCTGATTATGATTTATTATGACATGTTTTGACTATCGATACATTGACTTTTGATATCAGTGATACTGTAATTGGTTTTAGACAAATGGTTTTATAATTGTTTAATTTAAAATGAAATTTTTGGACCGAAATTTTGGGATGTTACAGATAGTCTTCCATACGATCTGGCCATTGATAGTAATACTCAGGAAGAAACATTGGAAATTTTGTTGCAGATCCAAGCAAGTAAGCATAGTTCATCATGGTGTTGACATCCAGATTTGCCATTTTATCGATTGAAAAGAGGAAAAACTTTGAAAAGAAAGAAATCGAATGCAAAGCGATTGACCAATCAAACGATAATTGTTTAATCACAAGGATTGAACGACGAATTACGTTTCAACTTGCGTAAAATTTGAATCGAAACAAATGATTCAATCTAGATGAAAACATGGAAAAGATTCTTCAATCGGTGTGTAGATTCATGCTCTGATACCAACTGAAAGGATGTTCGAATTAAGATTTAATCAATCGTAAGTAAAATCAGATTAAGTATGAACACAAAGATCTAAATAAGATCTGGTTTTATCTTTGATTATCTGGAATGAGTATAAGAGAAGTTGCAATGAGAGAGAAAGCTCAATGCGTACAAGTGCAAAAGTTACCACTTTCTAATGTACCTACCCTATTTGCAGGATACTCACAGATAAAAAATACTAGGACTTCAACATCACATAGCGAACCAGTAATGTGCCTAGTAAATACATACATAACGAAGTCATATAGACATTTGTCATTTACAGACTAAGAAAACTACCTAAGGTTCGTCATATCACAACATTGATATACTCTATAAAAGAGAGCGGTATAATAATTTTTTTTACCTAAGTGCACATGCATCCTAGATCTAGGTTTTACTAGTTTTAGCAACGTACTTTAAAATCAAACTAAAAGATGGATATAACACTTACCGCTTGGTCCTTAGATCATGTGATCAACAACCTAACAATGGATAGAGAGACCAAAGTAGAACTCCTCTAATTTTAGTTAGAGCCAAGACTCCAAAAGCAAAACAAGGAATAAACCCTATTAGGGTTTATGAGAAATTCACTAACCCAAGAAGATGGGTTATGAATTTCTTCCATATGAGAAATGAGAGAGAGGGGAACACAATTTTGAGGCAAAAGATCTTCTAGGGTTTGATCCCTAGCATCCTATTTATAGGTAGCAGAGAAATCCTCAAGAGATTCAAACTCTTAGGGTTTATCCTTTCCTTATTCAAAAATTGTCTTCTTCTTATCAGGGATAGACATAAATCGTCCACCTCCTCTCTCCAGAGAGTTCTCGAATATTTCAAATCAATCCCAAGGATTTAATTAATATTCAACCTATTTAATTAGTTAAAACAATTTAATTAATTACCAAAATAATTTCTAATTAATTTATTACTTCCTTAATAAATTAACAACTTATTTTCTCCATTTCCTTAATGCTATTTGTGTCGTGAGGCCAACTCAAAAAGAATCTGTTATTATATAGAAATATTACAAACTAGTTAATGACTTTGGACACTATTTCCAAAAGTCTCCCACTTTTAATCTATATGCATCACAGGTAGCGAGATTAAGACTGCAGGAAATAAATAGGATGCCGAGTGATTAAAGAGACAAACCTACATTAGTGTTTTAGGACTATTAGGTCTTTACACTATAACTTATATACTGTATCGATTATGACATCCTTTGGGTTTTGTATTGTGAACAACATCTTTACTCAATATATTTTAATAAATGAGTCAGTTTTCACAAAATATTTTATTGTATTTTGTTTCCGCAAACAAAGATACTATGATTTTGAAAGCGTAAAGATTTTTTTTCTTTTCGGTTCTAACAAATAGGGGATGTCACATGTACCCCCTAACACTGAAATCTAAATGCGATGGTTATTAAGTATGTTGTTATTATTTTTGTTATCAAAAGTATGTTGCTATTGTGATACTTAGTTTCATAACATGTAACAAAGGTATGTTGATATCATTTGTTTCAAAAAAGGCTTCATTCACCTATAAGACCTTTACAAATATCCTAAAATAAATCAAACACATTTTCATTCCACATTCTAGATAATGCCTAACTAAAACACATACAACTAACACCATATTCCTAAGTCACTCACCTTAAGGACCTTGTTCACCATTACAACCAACACCATTACCAACAATACAATAAGGAACAACAATGAAAGTATCATCTTCTGTGGATTGAGTATTTGCATCTGAGAAGTTTCAATTCTCATTCTTACTCTTCAAGTCTTCTTATATATATATATATATATATATATATATATATATATATATATATATATATATATATATATATATATATTATATATATATATAAACGGCTGAGTTATTGTGAAAACTTAAATATTTGTGAGAACTTGAGAACTTCTAATCCGGTTATCATTTTTCAAAACCAAGATCAATAGTCTTCATGAAATGTAACGTCTAAGTCATATCTATGCTAAAAAAAAAAGATTGACGATTTTTTTTGAAATATGCATGTATACACATATAAGTGTGTCCGGAGTCCATATATATCAATGCATACATATTTAGATGTGCATATATGCATATTCCAAAAAAAAAGTTCGTCAAATCTCTTTGCATTTAATGTTCTATTAAATGATTAGTTGGTTAAGTAATAATAATGAGGAGATATTTTGGTAAAAATGTTATTTATTTTTATAAGTGGACTATGATTTTGGGACAAACCAAAAAGGAAAGATTGACTATAATTTTGGGACTGAGGGAGTATATCATTTGACACTGGTTGGTCAAGCCACCGGAAAAATCGATATCGTTTATCTGATTTTTGCACAAACATAACCAAACTTTATTTGTTTATTACCAACTTCAAAATAAAAAATTTAAGAGAATACCTTGTAGTTTGGGCATCCTCTAAACTTTCATGCAGGGTTATTAGGTGTTCTTGAAGTCTTGACGGTTACTAAATCACCACAATAGCATCTCACTCCCGTATACCTGATGGTGGAAGAAGATGAAGCTCACGATATCGTTATTTGATATAATCAAGAGGATTTGTATAACATTGGATCTCAATTTTGAAAATTGAAGGTTTTTTTGCCACATGTCATCTTTTCATTCATTTTGACACTTGTCATTTTGTGGGAGTTTTAAAATATTTATTTTCCACTTGTCATTTTTTAGGAATTTCCATTTTCTTAAAATAAAATTCCATAAAATTGTAATGGATTCTATAAGGAAATAAAATCATCCTATTAATTTGATAATAAATTCTCATAAATACTCCAAACGATTTAATTTCTTTTGCAAATGTTCTAAAATATTACATTTTTTGTTATGTAAAGTATTACTTTATAAAATATTTAGTGTTTATATATTGATATTAAATTTTTATTTTTAATAAACCCATGTAATACACGTGTTTCATACCTAGTGTTGTATAATATCAGCTCAAATATACCCCAAGCAATCGGTAACCGACTACATTTCATTAATTGAAATAACATCTCACTAATTGTGGCATTAAAGGAACAAAAAGAAAAGTAGTGGTAAATTAGAAACCTAGCCTTAAGTACTGAGACTTTTGTAGCGTTAGCTCTTTATAATTATATATAATAGTCTTAGAATTTAAAAAAAAGTGTTGAAAAATATCATATGATCATAACAAATTCAATTGTTAATATTGATGATTTAAATAATAAAAATAATTAGTTAGAAAAATATAAAAATATAAAAGTTGTAAAGTGTAACATTTTAAAATAAAAAAAAAACGTTAATTACGTAAAATAAAACTCAAAATCTAATATTTAATAAACTATAAGCAATTGATATTATTGATACGAAAACAATATACTAAAATTGTAAAAAACATTTTTTTTTGTTTTTTTTTTTTTTAAATTTCGGTTGAATGCTTTGGTTTAAGTCTTGAACTACAAACCTCACAAAAAAAAAAAAAAAAAAAAACAAATCACCGTTTAAACATCAAAAACCGATTCTTCTGGTAAATCTGGGTCCCACCAAAAATACAGTCTACTACTCTACTTTGACATTTTGCACAGCCACCTATTTTCCACACGTAGAGCCATTATTGGTTCCAAGCTTTGACCACAAATACAAAGAACTTCGATAGTTTGATGCGTTGAATCCAGATCCCATAAATCCTTAAATCCCCTTCTTTCATCTTTACCTTTTTCTCTAGGGTTTGTTGTTTGAATTTTCCATGGCGGTGGATTTGATGAATGCTTACAGAACCACCGGTCTACACAACAAAATTGAAGAAAATTCCGTCCAAGAAGCGGCTGCCGCCGGTCTACAAAGCGTCGAGAATTTCATCAGATTACTATCTTCATCTTCACAATCGTATCAGAGTAATACTAACACAACGTCGTCATCGTCTTCTTCTCCGCCTGCCGGAGCTACGGATTCATCTGCAACCACCGACTATGTAGCGGTTGTAGATGTTGCAGTTACCAAGTTTAAAAAGTTCATCTCTCTTCTCGATCGGAATCGCACCGGTCATGCTCGGTTCAGACGTGGCCCTGTTTCTGTTTCTGTTTCTAATTCTAGCCCACCTGAGAAAATTTCTCCGTTGGTTCCTGCGCCAGCGAGTGTTCCCCATCAGAAGTTGTATTCTCCGGCGCCGATACAGCAGCGTATGCCTCCAGTTCCACAACCGACTCTCCACCATCCATTGGCGATATCCGGATCGTTTGACCGGAAAGATTTTCCGGTAACCACCATTAGTTTTGCTGCTCCTCCTCCTCCCGCCTCTCAGGCGAATTCCTTTAGGTCGACGTTGACCGGAGACACAGATAATTTACAGCCGTCGATGTCTTCTGGGTTTCAAATTACAAATATGTCTCAGGCCTCCTCTGGTTGTCAGCAATCTGTCATCTTCTTCTTTCAAAAGGAAATGTAACTCCATGGATGATTCTCACACCAAGTGCGCTAATTCTTCTGGGCGTTGCCATTGTTCAAAGAAAAGGTAAATCATCATCTTCCACACCAAAATTCACCGATAGAGTCATCAATTTTCAAATTCTGGGATTTGAATAATTGGGATTTGTTTTAAACCTCGTAAAAAATTGCAGGAAATCGAGGATGAAGAAGGTGGTAAGAGTGCCGGCGATTAGCATGAAGATGGCCGATATACCGCCGGACGATTACTCGTGGAGGAAATACGGGCAAAAACCGATCAAAGGTTCTCCACATCCGAGGTAAATTTCTTGTTTTTTAGTCTCAGATCTCTTTGTTAGCTTGATTCAGTTCCTCATAGTTGATATCGGAAGAACTGGCTCATTAACTCAGTGAGTGTCACAAACTCGGTGACTCGTTGACTAAATGGTATCCATCGATATATTATTTATTGTTGAAAATAATTGTGGGGGAATTGTGCGGTCATTGTTAGGCTGTGGAGAATGAAGTCGTCCCATGAGTGTGAAAGTTTGACTCATGTTTGTGGGCACTTTGGTAATTAACCATGTGGGTCCCTAATAGGTAGACTTTTCCATTAAGAAATTCCAAAAGAGAATTATGGAATGTCACTCGTCAATTATTAGAGTTGTATTATATTATTCGAAAAGGATAAAACAAGAGTCAACCTGTCTAGAAATAGTCAAATTACTTTATTCTTGTATAAACAACTAAATTAATTCATTTCATATCAACGAAAACAACTTTGAAAGATTAGACAACCAAGAACAAAGGTGATTCTCTTGTTTAAAATATTTTGTAAATTCTTTTAGTGCGAGGGATGATAATGGGGAATATGATTATGTATAACTGATTAAAATATAAATCTTTTATGAAAATTATAAAGGTGTATATTTAATAAAACCATATTTGGTTAGGGTGAATTGAAAATCATCTAATTGATCTTTTTTTTTTCTTCATTTAGGGGTTATTACAAATGTAGCAGTCTTAGAGGTTGTCCTGCAAGAAAGCATGTTGAAAGAGCTTTGGATGATGCTTCTATGCTCATTGTGACATACGAAGGAGAACACAACCATTCTCACAATGTGAACGACACACCGGGAGCCATAGTTCTTGAGTCATCTTGAATTGCATGAAAGTAGCGTTCATCTAAATCACAAAAATCGTAATTTAACATGAGAAACAAAATATAAATCTTAATTGTGACTTTTCCAAGTTGTAAAGGGAGAAAGGATTTGTGTAGCCTATCAGGAGAGATTTGATGTGCATTTAGACGTTTGTTTTATAAATAACTTAATGTTAATCTCTGTTACGTGTATATTGATTCTTAATTCTTGATTTGAGCGGTATGTTTATCACCTAATTGTGATTTCTCTTGTTTTTTACATCGTATATTTATATTTGATTGAAGTTACAAGTATACCTAAGTTCCAGTAGTATAAAATAAAAGGGAGGTAATGTGTAAGCATGAAACACCCGTCTTTTTATAAAACAAATTACTATGGTTTTCAAACATTTTATGAGATTCAAGTTATGCTTATCAAAAAATGGTCACAAAATTTTCTATTTCTAAATCATTATACAATGATTTATAAGTTATATGATACAGAACAAACCATAGTACATAAGTGAATATATAATCTCTATATAAACTACATCTAGTTTCTATCCTTCAAAAGTTCATTGCTACGGTGCTACCAAACAAGCATAATCTTCTAATGCTTCATACCTAAAGATGGAACATATGACATTTAACAACATACCTCAGTGAATATACCATTTCTATAGAAACTAAATCAGTTTCTATAATACAAGCACTGTCTTCTAATGTGTCATACCTAAAAGTGCAACATATGATATTTAACAACAAACATCAGATAACATTGTCTGGTGAGTTATATGGATAACAACTATACACAATTTGCATGATCATAAACACATGATTTACATAAAGTCTCAACTAAATGCCAATCAATTCCTCATTAAACATTTTAATAAAATGTGTACACTTTATGTCTATTTTCTGTCATACAACCTATATATTTTAAGATATATAAGTATGACCACAATCTAATAAACCTTACAGGCCTACTCATATTACATATAAACAACCTATTTATACTCCCTTGGTTACATACCGATGAATCTTAGGGTTCATCACAAATTTGATACCTTATCAAGTCTTAAAAAATGAGAAGACAATACAACTTATTTAGATATCCCTCGAATTTACCTCGTCAAAGATGTACAATCTTGGGTAGAGTCGTCCGTTATATCACAATTTATCATGTTCTCATATGGACTTGGTCATATTCTATGACCCAGAATACTGACCACTGTCTGAGAACAAATCACCCGACAAGGTCTCATAATCGCCTCGTATGGGCTTAGTCACATCATATTACACAAGACACTGACCATTGCTCAATCACATGAATTGACCCAAGACGCTAACCATTGCCGGAAAAAATCCAAACATAGCCCCGTAAACACCTCGTATGGGCTCATTCACATTAAGTGACCAAAGACCTTGACCATTGTCAAAAAATATCAAGACAAGGCCCGTAAATACCCTGTATGGGCTAAATCACATAAAGCGACCCAAGATCCTGACCATTATTTACTCTTAAGAGTACTTTAAAACATGATTCTTAATAGATTAAACCATGTATTTTCTACATAATAGTCTCATAGAACTGACCTTGTTAGTTAGTGAAAACTACCTACCACTTAGCTTCAAATCTTTAATTGATGCACTTGATCAATCTTCCTTGCCAAAGCCTATTCAAACAACATAATTAAGCTCTTTTAACTCAACTTAATTCTTTAAGAGCTTAATAGATAATTCAAACTCTACTTGACATATAATCTTTTCATTCCCATTTATAGATAACATAACGAATCTCTTTGAACAACCTTATCACATGCCTTAACTTATTAAGACACCATTTCATCAAGTTATGACTTTAATTTCACTTAGCTCTTGATTTACAAACTATAGGGTGTTTTGGTCAAAAATCGACTAAGTGGATATTAACCAAATCGAATGCGAGGTTGTGGTGTTTGTTGGTAAAATGTTTGTTGAAATTAGAATAAGATTACACAACTGGTTTACAAGGAAAACCCTTGATCCTTGCTAGGATCTCCGACACAAAACTTTGGGAGGTGATAATGATCACTTACCTTATTAATTTGTATTAATTGTAAGATGAGTTACATATGAAATGATGAAAATACGAGTACAAGTATTGCAGTAAGTCTAGGTGAATATTGTGTATGAAATACATGTGTATTTATAGTCTAGTCTAAATAACAATAAGTGCGATATTCCTGGGATCCTTTCGAATAAAAATGAACATGTTGGTTTGACTTGGTATTCCCGGGTCTTTCGCCTGATTAAAGTGTTTCTTCATTGAGAATGAGTCTTATGTTGACTAATTTTGCACATGTGAGAAAAAGACTAGAAATATATCTGTTATAATGTTAGGAAATAATAATAATCAGGATCCTGAGATATGTTCAGGATCCCGAAAGTCTCTGAAGATCCGTGGATCTTAAATAGGGTTGAGAATCTTGGCCCTAATATAGGATTCATACCACTTTTCATCAATTCAACCTCCAACCATGGTTTTAACTTAAAAATCATGGAATCATGTTTATAATGTTGGATTTTATTCAAAATATTTTGGGTTATTTCCATAAAAGACCTTATATTTTGATTTTTTTTTCTTTTTAGACCTAAACTTTTTTTATTTTTCGAAAAAGACCCAATATTTACATGTTACTTGTTATTTCAGACCCTAACAGGTCACCAACAGGTAAATTAGGTATTTTTGTTTCATAAAAGACCCAATATTTTGTAGTTTTTTCCATTTTAGATCTAAAATGTTTTTTTTTTCAAAATAAACTCAACTTTAAATTGGTTATAATCTTCAAGACCAAATATATAAGGTACTTCTTCACTACACCGAAAAAGAAAATATACATGTATACACTAAAAAATGTTATCTAATATATTATCATTCGAACGAATATAACCTAGAAGAATTGCAAAAAATTATTTTTATCTAAAAGATATAATTAAACTTTATCTTGGAGATATTATATATAATATAATCTATAGATATATATATAATATATATATATATATAATATATTATCTATATATATATATATATATAGGTTAGGTTCTATAGAAAACAAAAATCCCGAATAAAACTAAAAATAAAAAAAATGCATAAAAAAAATATTTAGAGATCACAAAACTTTTTTTTGAATTTTTTTTTTATAAAAAATCGCAGTTTTTTATTAAACTTCGCTGAAAAAAAAATCAAGTTTTTTTTTTTTTTATAATTTTTTTTTCAAAATTTTTTTCAGCGAATTTCTTTTAAAAACCTGCGATTTTTTTTTATAAAAAAGTTATGTGATCTCTAGGTATTTTTATGCATTTTTATGATTTTTAGGGTTTTTGTTTTCCAAATAACCCTTCCCTTATATATATATATATATATATATATATCTATACTTATATATTATATATATATATATTTATCATTAAACTTGATATTATGTTATAAAAAATTGTTATTATTACCGCTAAAAAAAGTTTTATGTTAATTTGATATTTTTTTGGTAACATGGATAATACATGGTTAGGAAGAATATTTTAGCATAATAAGAACGTTTTTATTTGTAGAAAAAAATACCATGTAATTTAACAAACTGTATATAAAATATTTTTTTTAGTTTGTCTATTATACTTATTTGGTGAGTTTGGACATATTTCCCTCTCTCACTTTTCTATATTATTTTTTTGGCCGAAATTTTTAATCAATTTTTTTAGAACAATTAACAAACGCACTCACTATCATACTTTTAAACCAAAGTCATAGATTATTTTTGTGGCATTAGCCCATGATTGAATAATATGTTATAATTATATCAAATACATAAAAAAATATTAATCCTAAACATTCGTAATAGTTTTGTTTAGATATATAAGGTTCAAGTTTAAGACTTTCTTAAAAAATGTTAAGATCACATATAAATACATAAAACTATAATTTGGGAATGAAACCATTTTAGCATAAGTTGAAAATCCAAATAACAAGAATGATACCGCAATTTTCCAAAATATAGACAAAACATTTTGTTATTATTTATATTACACTCTGTGAAAAAAAAATTATACTCTACAATTTCATTGTATGTGTAATGGCTCAAAAAAATGTTTCATGCGTAAAACAATATGATACCAAAAGATGCAAAAGTTAAATCGTTGTCTATTATTTAAACTAAAAGAATATAATTACGATTTTTATGCCTTGATGGAATTAAGCTACATGAACTTGGTCTAGTGAAGAAATAGCTTTTACAGCTACTCTTTTTCTTTTTAATAAATATACGTGGACAAAGAATTACCAATCATAAATAAATGCAGACATAATAATTACATTGTTTAAATCGATGTCTATGTTTAAACTAAAAGAATATAATCACTTTTTTTATGCATGGACGAAGTTAAGCTTCATTAAATCGGTGTAGTTAAGAAGTACCTTATACAACTAGTTTTGAAGATTGTAACCAATTTTAAAGTTGAGTTTATTTTGAAATAAAAAACCTTTTAGGTCTAAATTGGAAAAAGTACAAAATATATGGTCTTTTTATGAAATAAAAATACTTAATTTCCCTTTTGGTGATCTGCTAGGGTCTAAAATAACAAGTAACAAATAAAAGTTGGGTCTTTTTCGGAAAAGAAAAAGGTTTTAGGTCTAAAAAGAAAAAAAATCAAAACATAAGGTCTTTTATGGAAATAACCCAAATATTTTCCCAAAAACGTTAAGAACGTCAACGGAAACTTTTCGAAATAGAATAAACTTAAAACCATTTTAACCTACAAAGGATCATTATGCAAACATGGAAAGATTAAATCAACCATAGAAGGAAAAAGAAACAACAACCTTTGAATACTTTGATTCTTATCGGATGGTTAGAAGTTGATGAAGATGACAAACAACTCAAAGTAGAGCTTCTCTAAAAGTATCCACCAAGCAAAAACCCATTTAATTTGTACATTATATATATATATATATATATATATATATATATATATATATATATAATATATATAATATCTTATGAATATAACTAGTTAATGTTTCTCTTTCATTATTATTTCCTTGAAATAGTAATTCCCTATATGATGGTAAAATATTATTTTCATAAAATAATGTTTTTCTAATTAAATACAAGTATTGATTATAATTATTAATAATCAAATTACTCTAAAAAGTAATCAATTAGTAGTAACTTTCTATAAGGTGTGACCCTATAGGATCATCTATCATTAG